ACCGCTCAGATGGTTTGAATTCGAGGTTTTGCGTACTTCTCAGAGCTTCTTGAACCCCAGGAGTCACCGAGTTCGTTCAGGTTCTATATTCCCCAGGCCTGTACCACCTGAAATGTTATTCATATATACAACAATATGTTTCCTTCAAAGAAACCTCAGCGACGTCAAGACTTTCCCCCGATGGAAAGGTTTCTTCGCAGGAAGGAGAATAATCGGGAACACGTAACATACATTCTAACCGCAATAATAAAAGTTATTTTGTGTCCAAGAGCTCTTCAGAAATTGTCTTTTTTAAGGAGATAGATGTCCTTATGCTCCAACTATTCAATATTCTGGCACAGCAGTGGTTCATACCCACCAGCCCACTAAGGCGATTCCATGCTACGCTTATCAACTCTGTCAACCATACCATTACCATTTTATGCGTAACCAGGAACATCTAACATGAAAAGTGACCACGAGGATGTTAGATCTTGCTAACAGTGTCTAACGTTGGTCGCTCCAGGATTCGAACTATGAACCGCTACTACACTACCCTCTTCACAATTAAACAACTAGAGAGTTTGCAAAAGAACACAGTGATGAATATTAATGGTCTTGGAATCTCGTTATCAGGTCAGGACATGTATGATGGTTAAAATAGGAGCGAAAAATGAAATACCTGGCGAGGAATGGTTAGTGAAAAACAAAACGTGGAGACACGAACGATTGGTTGTCTGCGCCCCCTCCCCACATGTCGTATCTAGTTGGATGCTGTGAGACAGTCAAGAGGGCTGTGGAATGACTCGACACGAATCAACCGGCGAAGTCACTCAACAGCCCTCTTGACAGCACCCAACTAGATAAAACTTGGGGGGGGGGGGCGCAGACACCCAGTCGTTCGTGTCTCCACCTTTTGCTCTTCACTAACCAATCTTCGCAACGTATTTAATTTTTGGTTGCAATTTTGGGGTTTTGCGGGATAGGTATTTTTGTTCATAGTCACACCACACTCGTTCGAACGGTCGTGTTCCTGTTCTGGCGTAATTATTCTGGTGAGCCCACACCAAATGAGGGGAGCACTGGACTCGAGTTTCGCTCTTTTAATAGAGCTCATCAGCAGTACATACCCAATGGCCGTACCGGGATTTGAACCCCAAACATCTGACATGCGAGGCGAGCGTGTAACCACTACCCATTTATCTCTCCTGTTTAAACCACTAGATATATACTGACCTGATGACGAAATCCCGAAACCATTAATGTTCCTCATTGTGTTCTTTTTCAAACCATGGGGATATTTAAGCAACTAAAGCGTTTACTTCGATAAAAAAGCAGACCAGACTACTGAGCAACATTCAAGGCTCGAAATGAAAGAGGGTCATTTTAGTAGAATTTGTTCAAGAAAGGTCAGTCTTCAGTGACTTGGACTGTGTAACGTGATAAACGTTCGATTTGTGAAGCCCAGTTCCGGAAGTGTTGCTCAGTCAGATGATGAGGTTCTTGGATGAGTCGTACTGGCTTCTATTATCCGTTCCTTAGGTTGGATTAGATCCCTGTGCTAACAACGACGTTCTGTTCAACCAACCCATCCCTTTCAGTTGCTTTGTAAACGACCACGTTGTTAAGTTGAAAGCAAGTGGGGTTATCCTTTAAAGAAGCTGAATATGACAGTTCCTTATGTCATACATCGTCAGAGATAATAAGGGTTAATTAAGTTTGACTGGAGGTTGGTTTCTGCAAACCAATGCAACCAACTCTCCCTCTCTTTTAGCAATTGGATGAATTTCATGTCAGGCCTTAAAGCGTTTGAACATAGGCTGCCATGTTTGGTGAACACCATTCAATAATGATGTTAGAAAGTGGAGCCGATTCTTGGTTATTTTGAGGTATGACTGTTTGCGTTTCCTCAAATGTGAGTTACTGATCACTGCTAAGGCTGCACGCTCAAATTACGAAAGCCGACTTTTCGAGCATCAGACATTCTTCAAATTTGTTCATTTAGTAGAGCTTCAGTTGACTCTTTATTTTCCACTTTGATGGGCTACGCTGATAAAAAAACGACATAAGCGGAGTGTGAAACAGTCTTTCGTGTGTAGGCCACTCGACGGCGACGATTGGTTCGAGGTAGTTTCATGCCGTGATTGGTCCCGCCCAGATTTGCTTGTGTTTGCCAGCCAGTTGGATTCATTTTTCTCTTTGTTCTGATCAAAACTCCGAAAAATTTGATGCAATTCGATTTAGAGCAACGCTTTCCTGGCAATTTCCGCAACCTTAGCAACCAGTACTATGTGCGCAAAAGTTGTTGACTCAAGCTTTGTGGTTACCATGGCGTTGATCAATGTGACCAGTTCTACGCAACCGATAAGTGTTCGTTTTAAAACTGTCGTTTTCTCTCAGGCTATGTAATCTCTCACATGTTTTACGTCCGCTGCAGGAGATGGTGAAATGTCTCGTCTTCCAAAATTCAAAGTGCCAAGGAAGTGAGTAGTGTCCGTTCAAAGGCTACGTGGCAACCTCATAGAAACCAGAACATAGAATCACTCACTTTGAAGGCGAATCCGTGCGGCGTAGGTGCTCTTAGTCGTGTCCAGCCACCAGTGGTTGTGTACAATTGAAAATGACTATCGAGCACTAAGATGCGTATCAGGTCTGTGGACTTTGTTTGTTGAAAGAAAGAAGGAACGATGAAATGGAAACGAAAAGGTTGGCTGTGAGCCAGTTATGAGCAGTTATGAGCAATCGTGCTTGAAGGGGATAAAAAACAATAACTAAGATTGTATGCACAAAACCACCTATACTGGGTTGCATTTCAGCCTCTGGTTGAGCCTTAAATTTTGAGCTGGTCGGAGAAGTCGATCCCAACAAGCCTCGGTAGTCATTTAAACTTCCCTCGACCGAAATCGCGTCTGGAAGTTACTCACCTTTTTACGCGTCTTAATAGGTGAACTGACGGTCAACAATGTAATAGGCGAAACAGAAAGGGTCCATGCAATTAAGCATGACGATAGCCTTGCTAGGATATTCCGGACGAGGGCTGGTGGGACTAACACTTGCATTTTGGACAATGGTGTAAAAAATGGGGTTGAACGTCATCGTTGCGTAACTGGAGAACAACCTTTTGATCTAAGCAACTGGCACCGCCGGATTTTGCCCAGAATTCAGCTGGAGAAATGTCGGTAGGCAATCGATACTGGTCGTACTAATTCAACGTGGCACATGTATCGATCGAAGTCAACATCAAATGACCTGGAGCAATCAATGGTTTTGAAACAAGAAATGGTGATCCACATCATCACACAGTGTGAAGATGTATTCACAAAGCATATGTAGCCTTACATCTCAAATAAACCAGACGAATGGTGTGACCACACAGGACCTTTTCCCTGTTGTCGACTGCAAAGTGCAAATCAGGAGAGGAATTTAGTTTTTACATATGAAAAAAAACCGTCCGTCATGACACAATCGGTGTATTCGAGTAAACTGCGTCGCTGTAGGCCTAAATTGCGGTACAACGGAGCAGTCTTACTGTCTTCATGCTTCATCCGTGGAGCCACAAAAAGCTGCTCAGGAAAAGGCATTCCGTTTGCGCAGCAGTTAATTCTATCGAAGACAATTTTTGGCGGGATGTTTGTCATTGCCAGCTTTTTTCCGGTGCGCTTAGCCACCGCTTACCGAGGACATTATTGTTCTCCATTCCCAATTCATGGTTAAGCAAACAGTGAGGCGAGGTCACAATCCTGGCTGCCGGTACTTTCCCCTATCTACTAAAACAGAGTACTCCTGATGCACTATTTGCTTGACTAAATCCACTGAAAATGACGGCTAATAAGTGATTGGATTGACTGCTACTTTCTGTTCAAAATGAGCGCTGGTCGAGATTGACATCCCATCCTTCTACACTTTGTATTTTCTTTTCTTCACGTTTGGGCCCTTCTTCGTAGTTTTCAGTAACGGTGCTATTGTCAGTCACGACGACAAAGTTGATTATAGTGGCTGCAAGGTCACGTGATCTTGATGACCGTAAGATGGCACAAAACCACCGTACCAGTTATCATGAAGGAAATTTAACCCAGGACAGAAGTACTCAAGTGGACTGCATGCCGTTGGTTGCTGGAGTCCGAAAGCACCGAAAGAGACTAATTCGCCACTTGTCTTTACCAAATTTCAAAGCCATTCCCTGTTGGAGCAAATTCTGACGAAACACCTCATAAAGCATGATTTTCACACCATTGATGAAAAGAACGCTTCCTCATGATGCAGGCGTAGTTGTTGGGATGTCTATCACGGTGAACTGAGTTGTCATTCCAGTTGGTTTCAACTTAGTGGCTGCTATCGTCATCTGGAACAGTATAGTCTAACTGGTACCTCCGCAACAGTGCCCCATTCAGCAATTTTGTAGAATGTCGGTAGCTCGGGTGCGCTGTTTGGTTGTTGGTCTGTTCACCGAACTTGGCAGTTTGATTGCAAACGTTTCATCACCAATCGAGGTGACATTGTCAGTGCAGTTTGCAATCAAACTGCCAAGCTCGGTGAACAGACCAACAACCAAAGTGCCCCATGTACCGCATTAAACAGACTCATGGAGTGAAAGTATGGTGAATTTTTAAATTGTGCCTCGTGTTATCGTCGCTTCTTCGAAAGCAGCAGCGTCTTGTAAAAGTGATGAGGCATGGTGGGATAAATCACTCAGCAGTAACAGCCTTTCGGTGTCCAGCTGCCATGCCACCCGAAGGAAGCACAAGGGCTGGGATACTGACAGGTTGCTCAAGTCTTAACAGGACAAGTCGAGAGGTAGAGGTCGGATTCGAACCACGTACCTTCTGGTCAGTAAATTCGCGGTCTAACCACTTTGGCCATCTCGCCCCCATAGTGGGATAACAACTATGAGGATCGATCGTAATAGGGTAGATTTAAAACACTCCATGAATTCAATTAAACATTTAAAGGAAACGCCCAGATTTGATATGTCGGAGCTGTGAGCAACGTTCATGCAATGGTATGTGGCATAAACCAGTCTGATTGGTTGATGACGCTATGCTGAATAATGATCATTTGTGCAGAATAGTGGAAATTCTTTTACTGTTGCTATCGAAGTTATCAAAAGCTTTGATGAAAAAAAACAACTGATTGGAAGATGAACTTACTGCAAGGGTCTTTTTATTCTTTTTGGATGTGTACAAACCGGAACTGCGTAGCACACACAGACGACGCGACCAGGTTTTTTCACCCGGCTTTCGAATATACAAGTAGTCTCGCCACTCGGGAAATCCAGCCTGATCGATATTGTTAAGCATCATCTGAAAAAGGTGAGATCTGAGTTGACCGAAGCACGATTATGGAACTTGCAAGGACAATGGACTTCTTGGTGTTAGCAAACAGGCAGAATGAACGAAAATCAAGAGAGACGGCGTGAGGAAACAGTGTCGCTGATTATACTTACCTGTACAGCATCTGCACTGTTGTACCGGTGAACTTCAGCGAATTCCTCTCCGAACCAGAGCTGTTTGAGAACAAAGGGTAGAGTAGCAGAGCGTCGTAATAATGTAAAAACGGCCTGAAGCATGCTGTTTGATGACACAACCAACCAAAGAGGGATGCTTTGTGGCCTAATGGGGATGAAAGCTCGACACTTCTCTAGAGTGGCGCTCTACTGAAAATAACACTGATTTTTCTGTGTTTCTCCTTGAGCTGCGTTGTATGGCTGAATCCGATGTACTAGTTACAATTCGGAAACAAGTGGGAGAACCATACAGTGCCGTGGCAAAACTCAAGACTTATGTAGAGATAGATACTTTTTGGAAAGTTAGTTGCGTAAAACAACACCGATAAACAGATCCAGATAAAAATGACGCCAGGAAACGATTAATTCTATGCACTACAACTGGATGCTCGAGGTAAGCACATCTCAAATCAGGCATTTCCACTGCTAAATTAGAAGAGTTAGTCAGACTGAGTTTTGATCAGTCATAGATCGGTTTCAAATGGTCGACTTGTGCCAGTCAATTTTGAAACATCGAATAACAAATTGAAGTGATCAAAGCACGTCGATAATCAATGAAACTTTCGTCATTCGAGCGTATGTTTGAGCCTTCAAAACAGCATGTGTTCCAAAATGACAGAAAGACAGCGTCTTCTCCACCAAACATGTTTCACTTGTCAAGAATCTCCCGATCAGTGTTTCCTGAGTTGGGCTTGTTGTGCTTACCTGTCAATGCAATAATGCAGCAGCGATACCGCAAAGTTTGACAATTTTTTTTGCTATTCGGGTGCAGATGAGACTTTGCCAAGCGAGATATGACCAAACTGGCTTGTGCAGTTTTGACCGCGCTCAGGCCCAAAGGTCTCAATTCTATCAACTTCATCTTCCTTCGTATAATACTAGTTTGAAGGTTGATGTAAACTCATCGATCCATTGGAATGCATCGTATTACCTGAGATAATAACATACATCGTTCCGAACGAAGAATGGCACGGCTTTTGTGGAGCGAATTTAGTTTGGGAAGGGGAAAGACTGGTGAATCTCCGGATAATACTGCCTCAACTTACAAACGGATATGCAGTTACACAGACTTTCACGTCAATTCAATACCCATGATAATCGTTTGATCAGGCACCACAGTTAGATTTCGTAGTCTAATCTAATTGCTAACGTGGATGGTGGGGAGTGTTATGCTCCCTTAAACACGCGGGAAAGACTGAGATTCGCAGTGTACTAGTGAGACACATGAATGATCTAAAGAGGTATAAATAGCCCTTCTATCCCAAGCTCAATGCCTGGAACTGGGTTCGAATCCCGAACGTTCTGTTAAGAAAATCACGCTTTAACCAGTGAGCTACTTGGAACTCAATGATCCGTCAATCTCTAACTGTACCAAGTGACCCACCTTATCTTTGAGTCACTTTGAAAGTGCCATTTCCAAACGATATTAGTATTTTTCCATGAAGGTCGGATAGCATTCGGAGGTGAAATCAAAACAAGCTGTCAATACATTTTGAGTGTATGATGGGTAGTGCTGTTTTCGTTGCCGAACTTTGGGTTTGTGACAAATGTGCAATCGGCGTGACCCAGTTTCTAGCCTCACGTCTGACCGGCTCAGCTAATCGATGAATACAGGTTACAGTGCCTTCGTTGGATGATCGTTAGTTAGACCGGATGAATTACTGATTTATGCGTGCAATATCGAATTTTGATGCGTTCAAAGGATTCGTTTGAGACCAAAAACAATCATATTCCTCTTTGCAATCTGAACTTCCGGTTGTCTCCTTGAACTAGGACTTGCATTAGACGTAACACATTATTCAGAAGCCTTCTATAAACTCTCAGTCGAAGTGCTTCCAGCAGCCTTATATAGTCTGTTATTTCTATACATTGTGTTGTGATTCTGACGTAGTGTATCAGCCGAAACATAAGGCGCCCTGGTGCAGCAGTCCAGGAGGAATTCACCCTCGATCCAGGTGAGTCTCCCTTGGAAACCAAATTATTATACAAATGAGTGTGTTTCACCAATAACTGCATTCTTTCCAGCGGTCTATTTTGCTGCGCGATCCGTGCTAGCGTTTCCACGCGCAACTGTGAAAGGAAAACCAAAGATTCAACAACAAAAAATCTCGGCAAGGAAGGGATCCACAACAATCCCCAAAAACCGGACAGTGATCGTTCGAATAATGCTATTGACAGAACTGAACACTGAGTAAATCTTCTTCCAGAAGGTTGACTCTTTCACAAAGGAAACTACTCACAAGGTTGCTGAAAACTCTTCGACAGCCCACGACCGGTTTCAGCCTTCTTGAGGCTCAACAAGTAGGCGCACTCCCCGAGTTTCCGTCAACCTTGTGTTCTACTTGAAACCAAATTGGACTGTTTTCGAGAAATACACTCATTTGCAAATCAATTTGGTTCTTCTTTATTCTCTCTCCGAGCAAGCTTTCAGGCTATTGGGACTGCCGTGATCTGAAAATAGCTGACCACCTCATGAAGGTGATAGTACGCTCAGTAGGTGAGCCAAGAATGATTCATACGATCCTATTACGTTGATGTTCGACTGAAGGGAGTCGGGGTATGTACTGCGTCCCAAAGTAAATATATAGCTGGAACAGCTGCGAGAGAAAAATAGAGAAGATAAATTTGTCTTAATATCTAATTCCCGCACAAATATACTACTTTCGGGAGAGGTAAACTTAGTAATCCAAAAATAAACCCATCTTGTCGTGGGGCGTCCCATAAAGAGATGGCATACAAATGAGGAGAGCGATCAAGGACTTCTTGTACAGTAGACCCCATTGTGAGAGGTTTTTCTTTCTGTGACCGGCTTCTGCTAGATTTTGAGGTTTTCATCGTTTCTGAGGATTCACCTGGCCACGTTTGAAGGCTTATACTGTTAACGCCACTATTACTTCTCGCTTCACTCTGTGTGGGCAGCCAACGGTTGTTCGTTTTGCAAGTAACGCACCAAATTTTGGGTAAGCGAACAAGGTCAAAACTGTGGTTTGGCATGCTACACGGTTCTCAACGGTTGGATCGGCCGTTTGGCAGTGTGTGGCTGCTCGGCCATTCCAAAGACACAATGATTTATCATCACACACCGTTCAGATCCTATCGGCGTTGCGCTGTTTTGTTGATATAACTATCGATCGTTGTGGGGGGAGACAGTAAATGAACACTGCAGTCTACGACAAGCAGCTTTTGGCCTGACATCACGTGACTCCATAAACCTGTTTTTGGGAACAAATTCCGTTTGAATGCCGCATACAGATAGATAAATGGGATGTTCGGCTATGAGTACATCTCATTCATCATTCGTTGTTATATGTGCACGGGGTAGACTGAAGTGCACATTGATCATATACTACGATTCACAGAGAACAGTTTACAGCACAAGCGTTCCTTTCTGCTGTGTTCTCTGAGAAGTAATCTGTATTTTATTATGGAAATTCATGACTCGATGTTTTAAGTCTCGAAGACAACTATGTTTGATACGACATCCCTCTCAACAAAAATAAATTAAAAATAGATTCCACGGGACTCCGAAAGGAAATGCAATATTTATCCATTGGTTAGCCAATACTACTTACAGATATTTCGCCTGAAGTAATTTGTTTTTGAAAGAAATAGATACTGGTGCCCATGAGAAATGCTTAAGAGATATATTGTTCATCTTGGCAGGCGATGACGTCTATTATTCTACTGTCGATGCCGGTTGATAGTCCCATTAAATGTGGTCTCTTTCTGGTTGCTCTTGGAAGCCACACATCCCGGAAACAGAACTGAACATCTGAGCGACTAAGCATTGGAACATGGGCAATCAATACTCATCAAGGGACTTCGTGAAATCACACGTTATGATGATTTTGATGCTTTGTTGTGTCGAAGTTGGATATTTTCACAGACTGAAAACAAAATAACGGCTTTCCTTACGCCGTACATTCTCTGAAACGAAGCATCAGATTGTTGATATTAACTTCGGACACCTTCCTGCCGTTCCTTTTCCGGAGAGGGACAAAAAATCCGTCACATCTGAAGCCAAATCATGGGCTGAAGAAGAAGAACCTTCATTCACAGTACTGCAATAAATAGTATCCAATAGACGGTCTGGCGATGAAGTCGCACTTTTACCTGAGGCAGGTGTGACAGAGTAGTAAGTCGTTCCCCAAGACGAGTGGGATTACCATATTTGTAGAAGCAGTGGTGCTACCTTTCCGCGAGTAAGGACAGGTTGAAAATGGTCTGCTTTAAAGACTGCGCACTCCGGTAGACCCGAGGTTGACAGCAACCGTCGGGAAATTAGACGGTACAGTCGCAAGACGGACATTCATATCGTGATCTTGGTGCTACTTCAGACGTGTCTGCTATAAGTTGCGGCATCAAGATTCAAACAGGGAAGGGTCCCTTCGGAAGAACCTACAACCGCAACCACGAGGCTAGGGAAAACCTCCCAGACCTTGCTGGAAGAAAATAGTGCAGCAACTTAGTTGCTGACGACGAAGTTAAAAAATGAGAACTGCAGAGAAGTTTTCATTATTCGGTATGTGTTGCATTTGCGGCAGGCTCCAAAATGGCACTGGATTGTTTCCGCCACTCACGTGAACCCACGCATTCAAACAGTGTTAAGACCAACCACAAGTCGCCCTCTATCTTGACCGAGGAAGCAGTGAGCCACCACATGCAACTCGGGGCTTGTCTGTATTTCGATAAGCGTGGTTGATTGCGGTTCAAATTAACCGACAAAAGCTCGCCAAAAACTTATGTGGTTTGAACTCCCCATGCGGTAGTAACCAGTCAGATTAGTTATCCTCTTTCGTTATTCGCTTCCTGGGACCAAGTGTGTTTGTTTGTTTATGCAGTTAGAATTTGTTTGAACGAAGCGCAACACTTTGTTCGCCAGTCTGTTGGATCAGTAGTCTGATGCACGTTTTAAAGCCCCCCCCTGCTGATTAGGCCCAGCTATGTTAAGTAAGATAACAGGTAACCGGAATGCGAGGACAGTAACACACACACACACACACACACACACGGAAAGACACATTTGTACTAACAAAGTGGTACAAATGGTAGGTTGTGACCAAGTTCATTTTGTAATCAGGCTATTTGAAAAATTGCACCTGCTGCTAAAATGTTCCCGTCTAGCCGGTTGTTGCGTAACAGACCAGCAGAATGCTGTTACAAATGGAACAGATATTCGATTTGTGAATTTTGGTGATTCCACCGGTTCAACCGATGGGTGCATCAGTCGATTCCCTTTTTCCCTATGAAAGCCATGTTTGCAGGCCCCAAACCCGATTGTTCAACTTTTCTTCTGATGACGTCAAACAGCAGCGTTTGAATGTCACTTCTCGGTATGAACTTTTATCTCAAATGGAATCAAGCCAAATTCTTCCGGTGGACCTTGTCAAACTGTAGGTCTATTCGTTTGGAAATGGTTTATCGATCCCTTCAAACGTTTTGGTGAAATTCTAGCACGAATATTGCCTAGAAACTTTTACAAATCTTCCCCTAGGTGCAATCAAACGAGTGTCTAAATCAACCGCTTCATCGCAAACAATTCGGCCAGTTGAACGGGAGCGCCGAATATTCATATCATGTGCCCAAAGTGACCTTCACTTAAGCGGTAATTCAAAAAGCGCAGACATCAAGTTTCATTTGGGGCACCCATCTTACAAGCGCGCACAACCTTTGACTGGGGGAGAAAAATTACTGTAAATTATATCAGAAGACGTACACACCTCGAACCAAAGACTTTTACTGGACACCGTATGTAGCTTGACGCCTTCAACCCAAAAATATAGCAGTCAATTCCAGCGTACACCCATCATACCAAATTCATACTGTATGAGTGAAAGACATACTGTCCTTATAGACACTTCGCTTCCGTGTGACAAACCACTCCCACATCGTGGGAATCTAATCACAATTAAAATGGCTGACCCGGGCTTAAAAAGTTGATGTTCCCTCACTTACTTTTGGTGACTCTATAAACCCAAAGTGGTCTTTGCGTTCCTCGAAAAATAACATATTCTGACTTCCGGTTGGCCAGGAGAGAATGCAATCGGCCACGTTCTCGTGTTCTTCAAAGACGTGTTCTGTTGACCAATGAGATGAGGGATAGCACACATGTAATAAACAGGTTGTAGTAGAAATACTATGTTTTTCTGAAATGAACTACAAATTTCTAACAAAGTCACGTTGAAAATACTGAGAAAAAAACAGTCATTTTTAATAAAGATGTCACGTTTAATATATATTGGATTGTCTTATTCAAAAGAGACGGACAGTCCTACGAATGACGTCACCTCTTTCTTGATGGATGAATTCGCAGTTCATGGGATAGGTAGAAAGGCGTCAGCACTTTCTGTGGGGTCTGCATTCAGAGAACAATCTGCATTCTCATTGATGTCTAACTTCCAGGTAGCCACAGACTGCTTTTCCACGGAATTGATTGAGCGTTTGAGAGCAGACGAGATATCTCATATCAGCAATCTGGATAGAAAATGACAACAAGGACGCCACTGACATTAACTGACATATCATGCAGCATCTCCAGCCAAATGCAGCGGGGGTCACAAGGTCCACATCCTGAAAAGCGAGTGGCACCGACATTACCGAACGTTTCGTAAACTTCTTCATACCTCTCTGCCAGGTCAAGGGTTGGCCACATTTCTGCTTCCACTACTCTGAATTGGGCGCGGAAACCAGCACTCTCTTCGGCAAACGGTGGTTAGGCATGCGCATCACACGGCCTAACCAACACAGTGTGTTCTGGTGCAGAACACATCTCTCAATGGAAGTCCCCGTTCTACAACCGGAAACTCGCTTTCTAATTGTCTCGTTAAGTAGTCTCCGACACCAACCTACACGAGCTATGTTCTTTGGATGACGATTGTCAAACATCTGACGACGTCTCAGTCCCACCGCTGGAATAGGCTAGGCCTCACAGCCGTACAACAAAAAAGCCAGCAAGTTAGCCTGATACACACGTCCCTTAAGACTCAGGGATAAGCCATTCTGACGTCAAAGGTTTCTCAAACTAGCAAACGCGATCAGGACCTTGCAGAATCGTGCATTGAGCGTCCGGTAGCATGACCTCTAATCGTGTGGGTGCGAAGTGCATACTAAAGGACAGTTCATCCGAAAAACACCCTTCGTCTTCTCCTACTCTTTGAGAACATCATCGTCTACATATTCCATATCGACAAGGTTTTCGTGACAGGCTATTTGAGTTTTGAAGACCTTCCAGCGTTCATCTTATCATCTGATCGATCCCGAAATTAAGTCAGAACAGAGAATGGGCACTCCTGACGGACGTCGCTTTGTGTACGAAAGTTTTTGGATAGTACTCCGTATACTCTCACAAGTCCGGAAATCTAAGAATACAAATAACGTGTTATGTTCACAAACTTTCGGAGCATTCCTTGATGGGCAATGAAAAGACATTTTAACCGAGTCGAATGCACCCTGAAAATCGTTCTAGAGATGTCTCATGTCATCTTTCCTGATGTAAAGAGAGTGTGGTCTCCCTGTGGTGAATTTTGTCGTGAGAAGATGAACCAAGGGCCCGAAGAAGGTACGCGCAAAACCAAGCTCTTGAACGATGAACTGGATACGGAGCATTTTCGATCTACAAGTGTCTTGAATTTAAAATGTGAAGGTTTTCTCAGAAGCTGAGCTTTTCGACAGGAATTTTTAGAAACACATTGTGCTTCGTAGGTGTGCTGACTGGTTCGCGGCACTGGAAAGATTGAGCCACATTTCACCGAGCGATAAACTTGACCCGGAAACAGATATGCAAGTGTGAAAAATTGTGCCACTGGTGTTTCTGTTTTACGCGAGCTTACTGGATTATATCGAGGCGACCAGGCTCGTTTAATCGAACTGTTTCCTACCCTCTCACACTGGTTCATAGCCATGAGCCCCATGATAAAGCTTACTGTTTAGCTGAGTTCGTTAGTTGGTAGTGCGAGGAGATTTCGGATTTTTGTTGAGTTTTCATCCTGTAATTGAAGCTGAAAAGCCGAGAAGCACTGTACAGCTGTTTTATCCTTACTGAGAATCATCTGCAGTGCACCGCTTAACCGTCCGGCCACGGGCGGCTGATCAGTTGTGTGATTAACTCGCACTTGGACAGGATATAGCGCCGCTCATCCTTCAATCACGGGATCCACATCACGCGGTCACACGTGTTGACCGGCTCCTCGAGCAACGACTTCTCAGATGGAAGTTTCACTCTTCCACTGGGCTACTTATAGATTGTTGGTAGTGTGAGGAGATTTGCGATTTTTGTGGAGATCTCGTCCTGTAAGTGAAGCCAATCTATGCTGAAAAGCCGAGAAGCCGAGAGTTAAATAGACTGTTGGATTGTGGTCCCCTAATCTTGACAAGTGCTCATTCATCCCATTTATTTTCTTCAGATTCTGCACACGTTGCATTGTAGCTTCATTAGAACTAGGTTCACTGTACATCCATACAGGAGCTGACAAACACTCATTCAAACTGTACTAACCCACTGAATTTAAACAAATGGTACGACAAAAAACTTGGTCTTTCTCTTGTACTCACCAATTTTGAGGGCCGGCACCTTCTCCACAACAGCTAGGCTGGTTGAAGGTTTGAGAAAATTCTTCTCGATCAGCAAACTTGCCACCTCGCCAGCATTCATTCGTTCCTCAATCATGATTGCTTTGGTTGTTTTGTCAGGACGGAAAATGCGAACGACCAGCTGGTGGATGGCATATTGAGAAAAGATGCATAGATGGGCGGTCGTTTGTGGGGGAACGGTTGAGAGGTTTTGTAACAAAAAACTACTTGTGGCGTCTGGTGTTTAGATATGTTTAGACATGTAGCGTGGCTGAAATTGACCGCCTGTCTTTCCTATGCCTTCAGATAGCTCACTGGTTAGGAGGCAGACTAACCACCCTGAAGGACCGCCCCTCGAAACCAACCTGGGCAACTCGATTGCCCCTGTTTGGGCTTGGGCAAACTGACAGTATTTCAGCATGGTAGCTTTGCATAGGAAGGGTGTTTCAGCTGAACTTTATTAGGAACTGATCAAATTATTTTCCACTATACCCAAAGGTTCGTGACTGGGTCCTCCGCTCTACCAACTGAGCTATCACGAGACGAGATGGCTCAAGTGGTTAGAGCGCGAATTTACTGACCGGAAGGTCCGTGGTTCGAACCCGACCTCTGCCTATGAACTTCCTCTGTCTAGGCTTTTGCAACCTGGCAGTATTCCAGTCCTCGTGTAACCTTCGGGTGATATGGCAGCTAGGCACTGGAAGAGTGCTACAGCTGAACGACTTCGATTTCTTGACTGGGTCGGCGTATGAGCCCAAACACGTTGCTCTTGAGGTAGAATTTGCAAGCTTCACTGTACATGGGTAGTAATTGTGTAAGCGGTGCACCACGCCTATGGTGCAGGAGATCTGTTCTCTCTCGAGGGACTCTCATCAAGAGGGCCAAACGGGTTTTCCGTTTAGATGTTCCTTTTTGGGGACAGCGGTAACGTAAACTAGCCCCTGCATATTTTTTAGGTTCTCCGAGCATGTAGTCCTTAACTTTTCCTCATTGGGCTGAATATTTGCACTTTCAGCTGAGCGAATGCTCTGGTTGTCAACTTAACTTCCAGACATCATCATTCTCGTCACTGACAGCACAAAAACAGTGCTCAAATCTGATGCTCCGTCGCTGTGGAAACGACGCGGGATTTCAGTCCACTCGGCTGAAAAGCCGACACGTAGATGTTACATCCATCTTGGAGTCTATCGGAATTGCAAACATCGCAAGGAGCTGTGAACTCCATACCCTCTCAAATGCAGGGCGCATGTCCTGCCATCCATCTTGACTTTGCCGACAAACAGGACAGGCTAACTCACCCTTTGTCTCTCAATCATGACTTGTGATAGAATGTTGAGTTCCATCTCGAATCGAAACCTTTTGGAGAAGCTCTCCTGACTATTCAGAACAAGCCAAGTTTTTTTACGCCACTAAGTTTGTCATTGGGTGACGCTGTCTGGTGCTAATACTAGCTCAGCATGCTGTTCTTACTCCGTGCGGCTATATGGACCACTCCACAAATGAGTGTGAATTCCACTCCATCGGGACATTCGTGAAATGTGCACTGTAAACCATTCTAGACAAGCACGAAACAGCAGCACAGCGATTCGTGGTTGTTTACCAAAGGGTGAATCGACCAGCGGATATAATTCTCACACTGTGCACCCTGTCCAAACCTGGGGTGGGTGAACAAACATAGTGTATATATAATACACTACTCATAAGGTTGCTGAAAATTATTCAACGACCTACAACCGGTTTCGCTTCCCTTGGGGCTCATAAGGTTGCCTCAGTGGCCGAGTTTCCGCCAACCTCAACAGCACGAAATTATATATATATATATATATATACATATAGTTAAAGCTAGAAGCAGTTATCCACTGCCCAATCACTGATCTAGTGAACCAATAAGAAACCAGATTGCTTAGGAAATGTCCGGACTACCTAGACAGTAGAAAATTAGATTATTATATTAGGAAGTTCGATGGAAACAGGAACTTTTCCGCTTTCGCCAGGAAGTGCGATCGTGCATGCAAAAAACACTGGACGGATACGCGTTTTGTAAGACGGTAGAAAAGTTTATATTGCTGAAAACGTCGATAAACACATCATAGTTCTGTCGTTTGCTGGGACTAAGAAATTCAAACTGTTTTTTTTTCTTCGGAAAACTGAAAATAGAATTGCAGGAAAAAATACAGATTGCTACCCGGAACGATAGTGTATGTTTATATATGGTGGTCCAGTCTCAAGAGGAAAGCTGACAAGTAGGCCTAGCCGATGGGAAAAGTGACGAATGTCCAAATACCACAAAAGTTATCACTGGAATTCGACCAATGGACATCGGGTGATATCCATCTTTAACGAAGAGAAGTCGGTGAGAAAACACCTTGGGCGGATTTCAAACTGTTCTCTGTTATTGTTTGTTTCTTCGTGGGAGGGCGATCGATGGGAACTGTGTCGGAACGTGTTAATAAAAAGTTGTCAACCGGCTATTCTTCAACAATAAAAAGGATGACGCAGAGTATCGACTCTTTCCTACGAGCAAACACTCTAAATAACCTTGCCTTTCCTTGATGACGCAACACGGCGAACCTGTATGCTGGTCGTCAGCCCTCATCTTCAGAGCGTCAGGAGCCAGTAAGTTTTCTACCAGCGGCTAAACACGAATCGGAGCTGTTGACTACGAAGACTTATAAGAACCATAAACACTCGAGAAGTAATAGAAACTTGATACTTGAGTATGAGTCTCAAGTACTAGTTCATCACATTGCTGATCAGCTGATCAGGGGGTGAGATGGCCCAAGTGATTAGAGCGCGAATTTATTGACCGGAAGGTCCGTGGTTCGAATCCGACCTCCGCCTCTCGACTTTCCCTGTCTAGGCTTGAGCAGCCTGTCAGTATCCCAGCCCTCGTGTAACCTTCGGGTGGCATGGCAGCTAGGCACTGGAAGGGTGCTACAGCTGAACGCTTTCTTTCTTTCTTCATTTGATCAGCCACTCGTGTCGTCTTCAACTGCTAGTATGTAGGTCGCATATTCACATTGTCCCAGTAATTCCTGAGATGCTCATTGTTGATGTCTCAGGAAAGTTTGGAATGAATTAAAGGACGAAACCTCGGTAGAAATTGCAAACTGTCCTTATATCACCATCGAAATGCTTGTTCATCAGCCTAATCTCCTGGAGTTGGTTTCAAAACGTACTACTTTGTGGGCATTTAGGATTAACTTTTCAAGTAAGCTGAGTTCAAGTCTTCAGAGAGTGGCTAACAATTGTGAGAAAATGGAAATATGTCTTCTCAACATCCTTTTTTGAGTAAACCTACTCTTTTCTGTACACCATCACTCTGGTGAACACCAATCAAGACTGGGGATGCCGCTGTCATTTGAGTTAATAGTTTGGGCTGTGAGTGAACTTCAACTCCTGTCACGTGATGCGAAAGGCGAACGCGTCAGTACTGCACCAGGAATGTTGGCTTGGGATGCAAGAACTGTCACATCTAAGCACAGAAGGACGTTTGCCGTGTGAAGCCTGAACGATGACCNAGCTGTCTTGGTTGTGCTCGGCACTCTGTCGTGTAGGTTCGCCTTCAAAAGGGAACCCATAATCTGTTTGATTGCACTCCTCTAGAACCGTTCCGTCAAAAAGCAAATCAATAGCTATAAACACACCAGTGTAATCTTACCTTTTTGACATTGTTTTGGTCAAGAGTTCTACGGGATCCATGTAGTGCTAAATTGCCATCAGCATGGTCGGAACCCTGTGAAAAGTAAACGAAGATGACCGTTTTAGATTAGCTTTACTCAGTGTCGTGCAGTGTCGAGATATCCTATTGGGTGAACGAAGCAGCTGAATACCATCCAACTTTAGGTCTCGCTATTCACAGTATGATTAACAATCTGGCTAAATGTCTTGGAAGTGCACAGATGAGAAAAACTAGACTGTTTTTAGCGCAAAAAAATGAAAATGGACACGAAACACCAATACATGCATTTCCGGCTAATGTCGCTGGAATGCTTTTGGGGGCAAGCTAGTCGGCAATGAAACTATTACTTCAAAAAAGTACATCACATGAATTTAGTTCCAATTCGCTGCTTCTTGAGTCGTTCTTTGAGCATGCGTGTACTGTGCGCCTTATCGTACCTTATCAATAATCTTATTCCTACCAGCTTTATCATGCGCGCAGTTGATAAAATCAACGAACGTGCTGTTCGCGTTATCTGTCTGTGTCATATCAGTGTCCCAACATACCTATAAACTGGCATGTGCTCTTTGAAAAAGAAAGCGCACTGAATCACCCGAGTAACCAGATGTGGTCTCTCTAGGAAGTGAGCATTGTTGGGAGGTTTCCTCTGGTTGAAGAAGCCTGGGAACTAGTGTTTCTAATTGACATGCTAGGAACTGACGTATTCTCTTTCCTTTCAAACTAGAATAGGTTTCGTGGGCTGATTTCAGCAACCAGTAGTCAGTTTATTTGTAATCCCCGTATGGTCGTGTGGGTTTCATGCAATGTCAAATAGTCTCACAAAACGGCCTCGTTCTATAGAAAACCTACCTTGATTTCTTTCTGTATGAATGGCTACCTCTAGCTAACTCCTAAAGACTTGATTGGGACACATTTGCGCAAAATGAAACCCAGATTTATAGGACTAGGCTTTTATTGAAAGCAGTGGTATCGCGGTAGAAGGACTAAGGTCCTGAGACCTACCGATTTATCAGACGTCGAACTTGAAGGACTAAGAGAACCGGAAAGACGATCAGTCATACTAGGCGGTGAAAGCGTTGTGCCTTTGATCAGGTCTCGCTTTTGTGTAGCAGGTGGCTGACCAGGACTCCAACTGCTGATTCCACTAAGTGAACTGTCGTCGTCTCCATCGCGTGCCAGCTTCTTTACCAGTTGGCATTGTTGCTGCGACACAGGGCTGGAACAACTGTTCGGACTGACGATATGTGGCGATTCCACATACTGGCGAGGAGGTGGAATAGGGGTTTGTCTGCTGGTAGGAATGTATGTCTGGGGTGACGAAGTTGCGGTTCCCAGCTGAACATCATTTGCGTAAATTGGGGAGCGAAGTGCCCGTTGCTGTGAATAATGGTGGAATATGACGCAGGATACGAGAAGGGTCAAACCGCAAGCACAGCTGTGACTGTGGAAAACTAGAATCCTCAAAATCTACATTTCATCGACCTGGTACAACTTGAAATCCCCAACATACAATGACAACAAAAGGTGATAAGTGATAAATTTGCATTTTCATTAAGGAAACTACTCATAAGGTTGCTGAAAACGTTCGATAGCCCACGACCGGTTTCGCCCTTTTTGAGGTTCATAAGGCAGGCACAGTCCCCGAGTTTTCATCAATCTTACGTTCTACTTGAACCCAAATCGGACTGATTTCGACAAATACACTCATTTGCAAATCAATTTGGTTTTCATGAGAGATTCATTTGAGTCTCTCGTGAAAACCAAATTGATTTGCAAAAGAGTGTATTTCTCGAAAACACTCGATATAATTAACGGAACGATCGAAAATCATAAGACTGCAAATATACTTGCACAGGAAACTGACCATACTTGCATAGTTAGTACACTCACAGCGGCCAGGGCTTTCATTTCTTCAATAACTTTCTCTTGAGTCTCGTAGTTCTGATACATGTAGTGGGCTTCTCCGTTCGGGAATAAACCTGGTGTTTTTCGTAGTGGACTGGTCGGACACGGTCTGTTGGTGTGCTGTTCTGTGGAGGCGATGACGTGTGATCCATTTCCGACCGTGGTTGTATGTGTCTGCGGTCTTGAAGGGCTATTCTGGACGCACCACAGACCTGCTTCTGTGGCTTGAAGTAAGGCCATGGAAGGGGTGTTTGGTTGAGGTGAGGTTGGTGGGCTAACACAAGCATCTCCAGCACCCAAACACGCCGGAGGAGCTGAGTCTGACGAAACGGACTTTATCACAGATACTTCAGGCTTGATGTCGCGGTTTACCTCGGCCGCCCACTGTGCAGAGATGAAACCGTTCTCTGCCCGAGTATATACTGAATCTGACCTTCGGGTTTGGACATCATTTCGTGTAAAGCCGTTACCGTTGGACATAGAGTTCACTGGTTGACTGGTCGTTGGAGAAGAGGCCAGACTGTATCTCTGAAAACAACAAAGTAGATATTCAGGGAAGTTTTACGCATTAGAAAATCGCACACATTAAAAAGAGTGGATTTACATTGATACATTAAGTATCTGTTTTATAGATTGATCAGTGAAAGAAATTTCCAGCCTCTGTGATTGATCCCCAGGTGTTGCTCTCCTTTGTAGGACTTTCATAAGTGGCGTGGCCTCGCGCATCAAACTTCATGCGGTAGATTCCTTCAAATTTTCTCTACTCGTAGGTGGATAAGTTACGTGCATTTTTCCTACGCATTTGGTTAAACATAGTTCTCAGGTTTGCTGTACGGGAGGATGTTGATAGCTCGGGTAGCCTAACTGATCCTTGGTTTGTTCACTGAGCCGGGCGGTTTGATTGCTGGCTGACCTTCGATCGTGGTTAATTGTTCGGTCGGGAGGTTCCGTTCGTTGCTTTGTTATCCTATGTACTTATTGAACGATGGTCAAGTGACCTTAAGGCTTGGACTTCCCCGCCCTCGTACTCTAGTCGATGCTGCATCGACCTCTATCCTTGACCCCTCTGGGTTCCGATCTGTGGCCTTTGTTGCTCTGACTCCAAGGTGTTCCGTGTTTCTTGGTTTGTGAATCCAGTGTTCAGTTCTACTGTTCAATGTACCGGTTGATCGAATTTGCCGTGGAGCACCATGTCTCCGGAAATTCCCTTCCGTGTCTCGTGTCTCCGTAAGCCAAAATTTTCACGTTTTCTACATTGAATTTGTGGCCTTCTTGGTTGACTGGGTTCGGTTTCCCTTTATGTAGGTCCCAGTGCGTATACGTGGGCGCGTCGGCACATGAGTGGTCGCTACGCTGACTAGGCCGTGCAGACAATCGATGTCCGATGAGCCAGCTTAATGCGACGTGTTTGTGCGTATGAGAAAAAAGACAAGCCTCGCGATCCAGTGAGCGACTGTGAGTTGAACAGTCGAGTAGGTGGGTGACGGGGTCGCTACACCTCCTGCCAGCCGCGTCGTGTCCCCTTATTCGTGTGCGTAATTTCCACCCAGTTTATTCAACGTGAAGTTCGTTACCAGTGCTTTGGTATATCACATTGTTCCTCTTGGTTTTGGCTTGTTTATCCCTCAATTTTGAGATCAGTTCCCTTAAAGTGGCACTCGGTTTTGGGCTACGACGATTCCTTTTTTACGTAAGTTAGAACCATCCATCTGGTCACTTGTTCTTGCTACTGCTGTTGTTCAGATACCTTGTTCCTCAACCTCTTCTTGAGAGAACTTCATGGATATCCATTGTTCTGGAATACTCTAAAAGTGGTGCTTTTCTTTCTTATTCCGTAATTCTGTGGTGCCGCAGTGTGTCTCAGCCCTCTTGAACAGGGTCTGGAGGCAGTCCTGGATAACTGCTGTTGTAGTTCAGTATTTAAGTATATGCAGGTTTCCAGAGTCACATCCACCTTTCTGTTTACAAAAACGTCCAAGAATGGTAGTCCGTTATTCTTTTCCAGTTCTCGATGGTAAACGTAAAATCTCCAAACTTGGTGTATCATAGATGCAAATAAACGGTTGGTAAGTCGGGAGAAATATTAAGAAAGATTTCAGTGTGGTTCTATGTGGTGTGGATCACATTCTCCATCTTCAAAGGATCGTTTGATACTCTGACAACAATAGATGCATGCATTGAGATATAAGAATAGCGTTTACTTTCAGCGGCCCTCGAGACTGGCCATACGAATGTGTAAAAAAGCAGGCCAAGACGCTGTCATGACTCTTTTTGAGGCTGACTTGTCGTTCAAACTTCAATTGTATGCGTGGAGACCATGGTTATTTGACGGCTTCCCAGCAGAAGCATCTTTCTGCCATTGGGCTGTTGACAATGGTTTCATGCAGGTTATCCGACGTCCACACAACACTACTAACTCTTAACTGAGTTGACAGCATCGACAAGATCTTGAAGGTGAAGAAACCAGTGTTGAAGACTAACCACGCAGACCAGGTTCGGTGACACAATTCGTCACCGAAAGAACGGAATCATATTGGCGGACAGAAGAGTGTTGAGCCACAAGCTTGCTTCACATATGGATTCCGGTCGCAATGTCGTACAGAAGATGAAGGAAGACCTAGGGTGTCAAACAATCTGTGCGAAGTGAATACCTTGACAGTTAACAGCCAATTTGACGGAGGGTATTACGTAAGACTGCTATTATCCACGTAAGCGGTTAAAGCTGATAAGAACCATTACCCTCCCATCTGAAGACAGAGGGGTTAAATGTGGTAACAACTTAATGATTCAAAATAATTCATGGAATGCCCTAAAACTTTATTTTTAAAGCTCAAAAAGCTGATCAGATAGTGATCGGGACAACAAGTCCTGAAGACACTTTTTCCTGACATGATAATAAAACTTCATTCTTACTGGTTTCTTGGCCGAACGCCAAACGGCCAGCGGTACACTGAAGCACTTCACAAGATCAGGAAAGCCAAAAGGGAACAAATCGACCGAGAGTACTAAAAGTATTATTCACATTCGCCATAATGATGCGGACAGCACACACTTTTACAACGAATCAGACGGTTAGTATTCTAAGTTGGCGAACTCTGACTTGTCTTCGTCGGGTCCTCGGGGAGCATCGATTTGAGGACAATGGGAAGTAGCCGCAAAGGTCTAACCCAAAGTTTCTCAGAGAGGGTTTGAGCTTAACGTTTGGGTCACCTGTGATGAAGGCCATAGTGGATAATACCTTCGTATGTATACTTCGACCGACGTAAAGGGGCTATGCCGATTGTTTATTTGAGCAAACCGCATAGTATCTGTGCTGCCCAAAAAAGCAGTCATGTGCCCAAATGCTTGCGTAGGGCCTGAGCAATACTAATCTAGGTTGTCGTTGACAAACTTCTGTTCGTGTAAAACAATGCGTAGTCCTTCTTGAAAGCTGATCTGATATTTCAACAAGCCTGAGTCATCCCGAATGACAGGTTTACCAAATCCGAGTAATTACTGATGCTGCCGCTTCGCTGACAGCCGTTTTATGGTGTTTAGTAAAGGCTTAACAGTGTACTCGCTCTGCAGTGGGCATGCGGTGTGAAGGGCACTCAAAACTCCAAGGAACCGATAAAATACGGGTGTGGCGTTAGGACCAGGTAGTGAAATTTTAAGAGAGACTTCATGGTGAATTTGTTGCTACTCCATGCCTCTCAGCTTCTCGGCAGGATGAAATCTTGACCGAATTTTCCTAGCAGCAAACTAACGTGGGTTTATTGTATAGCGGTAAGAGACACCCAGTGACTGGGTAAAGGTTTTGGACTCATTTTAAACTAAAGTCAGATTTTTACTGCGTTATCCAAGCGCGGTAGGTAAGACAGTGCAACTGAGTTCTTTTCATCCTGTTTTTTGTCCTACGTGATTGAGAATCATACTGTTTGAAAAGTTTGGCAGGCTCAATATTGATGAAGTATATGCATCTTGTTTAGCGTACCCTCATGGATAGGTAAGCGTGTAAAAGTGAGGTAGGGGGAGCCATCCGAATTTGCTTTTATCCTATTTTTCAGGTGGACAGTGCAGCCCTTTCGAGTGGCGTGGAATCTAGGCAGTCGAGCAGCATTCTGGTTACAATCGGCAGTGCCGAAAAAATTCGAATTCCTATAGGCTAGTCACATTTCGTTCAACTTACTCTCGTGAATACATTGTTCTCTTGTTCGAGCTCCTTCATTCGTTCCTCAACAACCTCGAGGTCCCGCAACAGACTACTTAAATCCCGTTCGGCGGTCGCCTCTACAAAAAGAACGGGAAACAGAAAAGGCAGACGTAGCTGATGGGCTACTAGCATATTCTCTACCGCTTTAAGTATACGCACAATTTTTTGGTCTTATAAAAGAATTTAACACTGACTTTCAAATGTCTGATTTTAGAGAGTTGCAGGACACATGCGAGAGAGGAGATTGACTTTCAACCCCCAAAAATGAGAAAATATGAAAAGGCGGATTGAATGACACGTGGCTGCAACACGTGTTATCAGAACAGTCCAAAATGTAAAACCTAACCAGAAAGATGACATTTTTTCTACTAAAAAGGCCATGCACAAATAAGGTGTATGTTTGACTTGGTCAGCTATGAATGATTCTGTGTGAATGAAGTACTTGATCGAAAGTACCTATAGGATGAATTGATCAAATGCTGTGTATCAGTACAAATGTCCGGGTGTGATGGCGGTCTAATACGAACTGAGAAAGATTAAATGCTCAACTATCTAACTAAGGACAGTAGCCAAAATATCATGCGGGGTTCCTGTCCGGGTAGAATCAAGCTGAAATCTCTGTATTCCATGAGTAGAATTTCTGAGTAGAATTCTAGTAGAACTCTACCAATCGACCACAAAGATGACGTTCAGTTTTAGTCAGACAACTCACAACGGGTTCGGAAATTTCAATCACCTGCTATCTTCCATTTCAACATTGATTTTTAGCACACTGAGCGATAAAGCCAAAAAGCGAACCAAGGCCTCCATATCAACCACTCTGGTGCCTCATAGCTTCTTTATGGCAACTGGCGTTTGGAAACAGAACCACAATCAGTATTGTAGATGAATTCTGATTCCGCAAGGATATCGATGCGTCCCATGATAGAGAAGACTCTGGTGGAAACGTCCCATGCTATCCGGCAAGATTTAATCCCACCAGTGTTCCTACGCTACTCTTCCACATGAGTGTATTTGCCATTTGAGACAGGTGGCATGGACGGCGGAGGCACTCCACAAAGAGGCACATTCATAAAGACTCAACTTGAATATCAGTGCATTGGTACACATGTTTTCGACTGTAGATAGCCAGTCTTGATGCGGGATAGCTAGAACATGATGTTGTATGCGAACAGACTTATATAGTCCATGACCCAAATCACTGTCTAGGAGGTTAAGCATCTTTGGAAATGGCACGAAAGGGGTAGTTTAACTAAACGTTCTCAAGATATCTTTTCTAACCAATTTTCCAAGTGTTCTACCTTTCGAGAACACTTCTCGACTTCCCTATCCATCCGGTATCCTTACAAATGGATCGATTTTATCTTGGGTTGAATAGAAAACCCGTTCAAAGGGTGTCCGAGACTGAGTAACATAGTTTTCGCGAGTCAAGTGCTTTTATTGATTTTGTTAGTCATACCGTGGTCAAATGGAGTTAATGTTAACACAATATGACCGCAAAGTTAGAAGGTGGCGTGGGCTGAACAAACGAGTTACCAATTTGGAGAGTTTATTTCGTCAGCTTGGCACAGCCTTTTGCAACATTTCACAAGGCATATGCCATATCGGTTTTTGATTCACAAAAACAAGACCAAATTCGCAAGTGCGGGTCGGGTTTCCTGAACAAAAATCTATGGTCCAAACCCCAACCTAATGTGACGCGAATTAGGCTATGCAGACCGATACTTCCCCAGTCAAGAGAAATGACACGCAAGTCGCGGTGCAAAGACTGGTCAGAGTCTACATGATCAATTGTTCACACTGCCAGGCGCAGTATAATTTGAAGGAAACAGATGATCCCGAGTCGGAGACTGAATGGATTCCAACAGAGTTGCCAGGCGGCTAACAGAGCTCCAAGATGTGAATGGATGTTTGTTACCAGTGGAAGTACCACACCTCGGATTTGTTCCACATTGCCTTTCAGGGAATCTGGTGTGTCTGCTGTCAGCCAGACTGTGTAGCTAAAATCAGCCTGTCGATGCGTTCTGCGTTTGTATCAGCGCAGATCCGCAAAGTCTATCCAGCCGATGATGCCTCGGAAGTTTCCATTTTAATGCTGTCCAAAGGTGTAGGCACCCCATTCTAGACCGCTTTCCTTAAAAACGTGATGCTTTCTTGCGCCAAGTTCCGAGTCTTCCCTGTTTCTTCTACTCCTCTTCTTCTTCCTGTTTTTGTAAAACAGTTAGGCATCCGTATGCATGTGTTGTTGGTGTGTTGCCTTTGAGGATGACGATGATGATGATTGTGACGGTGCACTTATCTTCCTCTTCAAAAAGAAGGTGAATACAATAGAAAATGTTCATTCGCACAGTCTGGTAAGTTCGGTAACAAAGGGAAACAAATTCGTCTCAGTGGGAGAACTTCCATTTCTTCAGACATTTCGCTAAGATGACGTACCAGGTGACGTACCAGTTTATGCGTTCGTGCGGCAGTAGCAACTTTTACAGGCCCTCTAAATGTGGATATCTGTCTCTGGGAATTTTATATTCAAAGGTGTGAAGGAGATGAGAATCGCTACCCGAGCGCTTTCACCAGGGAACAGATACTCAGTAAACACGGGAAAAGACAGTTGACCTGGGAGGAATGCCAATTAACGTGGATGCTGCCCGGACCGTACCAAAATCGAGCGAATTGTGAGAACTAAAAAAATGAGTCACCAGTGGTTCTTTGTTGATCCTTGTGATGGTAACGCAAAAAGTCCAAGCGTGAATACGTGTCTGGCGGGGTAGCCAGCCATTGCAATGGAATCGTATGCAGGTTATGTGTCGGTCAAACAAGACGTCGAGCAATTCTATAGATATTTGGCCGCTTGTTTACATTGCGTTTAATGTCGTATTCCAAGTCCTCTCTAATTATAAACTGGAAGATGGGTAGATTTTGTTAAGATATTTCGAGACTGTTTAAAAAACTATCACGTTCTCCTAAACTTCTAACCTGGAAACCAGTTTACCCCTCAAGTCTGTAGCCACCACACATTTTCCACATTTAGAAGCCAACCGTTTTTCGACAAATGGTTCAACAAGAATAGAAACTGTATGTGATAAACAAAACCTGGTCAACGCTAAAGATCATTGGTTTTATCCTGACATTTACTTATTTGAACATTGAATTACAAGTTTTTTAGGACCAAATAAGGGCACGTATCATCATCTCCCAGTACGATACGAACACCGACGGTCTGCCTAAAGCCATTTTGTCCCCATTTCAACAAGTAATCTACTTGACTATAACCGTGCGATCTTGGTGTTGGTGTGCGGGATCATGTACGAATCATTGGCGCACTAATAAGCAAAGAGGACAACAAATTCAGTCAAAAAATACCGTCCATTTCTAGCTAAAATCAGTAACTTTACAATAGTTTTGACAGCTTGACAACGGACACTGATTTCTATGGCACTCTCAAATCCCCGGCAAAATGCTTCCAGTGTAATTTGGTGTTCTAATCAAAAATTAATTCGAACAGTCAAACTGTAACTGAGGTCACAAGATCCATATGTAAAACATAGCACCACACGCTCGCCACACAACATGAGTTCTCGACAGAGATGTCACCTCTGCAATATAGTGGTGTTATTGAAGTCAACGTACAGTGATTATGCTTCCAAGAAGGGCACAATGTGGCTCGGTTACTGATTTCTTTGCACTAAGGGAGGTAGCTCACGATCAAGGATGAGGTTACGTGAAGGAGATGCGGCAAAAAATTGGACCATTCCACGGGAGTGGTTGCGTACGAGGGGCTTGCAGTATTCATTATAATCAACGAGCAAAAGTCTAAGGCAAAGGGTTTTTGTGTCTTTTATTTGTTTTTTTTTTCCGTGAATTGTTTATCTCATTCAACAGGTTTTATTTGTTTTTTCCCGTGAATTGTTTATCTCATTCAACAGGGACAACCTGTAATTGTCGTCAAACTCGCTCAACAAAGCGACTATTTTTCTATAACGAAAACGGGATGTATTCCACTCCGGTCATTCGGTGTCTTCCTCAGCTATAAGAAAAACTGCCGCCGAAAAATAACTAAGGAGTTTATTTCGCACAATAGAGCGTTTTCGGGAGGGGGGTGAATGCTAGGCCACAGGTGTGCTTGGTTTTTGTATGCAGCACCCTACCGCATAGTTTGTGTTGTGTGCAAATACACTTCATTCAAGTGTACTAAGCTGTGATCCATCTACTTTCTTGCTTTTGATATATTGTACTTCGGCGAACAATGGTTAATACCACTTGCTGTTTGCCGCAAGCCGCTTATGTAACCGGCTGAGCTCCGTTTGCCCGACAAAACTTTAGGCGAAAGACCCAACCAAGAGTGGATACAAAGGAGTGACAGTCAAAATTATCAGCTGGCTTATAATTGTCCAGCCCCGGTGGTCTCATGAAAGATGAAATTTACATCTGGAGTGAGAAGGCCAGAGCAGCTTTTGCGAACCTGCGTCACCTGTGGCGTAGACGTGACATCAGCTTCTCTGTCAAGGGTTGAGTTTACAATGCTGCGGTGCACTTCATATTACTATATGGATCAGAAACTTGGCCGCTGCGCGCCGAGGATGTCAAAAGAATTTCAGCGTTTGACCATTGATGTCTTCGGAGCATTGTCCGAATCTGGCGGGAACACCGGATCAGCAATGCTGAAGTTCGTCGGATGGTACTCGGGAAAAATAACTCTCGATAGATGAACTGATCAAACTGAATGGGTTGCGCTGGCTTGGCCACGTGCTGCGTATGCCAGTCGACCGACTTCCTCGAAGGGCTCTTTTCGCACAACCACGTGAAGGGTGGAAGAGAGCCAGAGGCAGTCAAACAATGACTTGGCAGTGAAGTATGAAAGCCATTACCAGAAAACTCAGCTGCGCTGATCACTGCCGTTTTCCTGGATGTGGACCCCGAGACGGGCCACATAAATGGTTAGAGACGTTGTCAGAAATGGCCCAGTCGTGTCCTCAATGGCGCTCGAATTAAACAACTCTGGCCTCCAGTGCGCTGCTACCCACCCCACCTCCCCGAATCGTCGGTTAACGAAACCGTGGCAGCTATAACCACTGTACGA